AACAAGCAACATGTAGGCAATGGAAAATCTAACCAAAATATTCCAATCAAACCATCATATCCTCTAATCAGGAATCTATACATGCAATTCAAAGGCTCATACAATCAGACATAACCTAAACAGGCTATCGTATCACCGACTGATCAGTACTAGCATGCAAGTCTACAAGCACATATAATAGGCATATAAGGCATCCTCTTAGATCCTTAGCCCTAACACACCTTGTTCTTTTCAAAGTTCTTTTCTCTTTTCAAATTTCTTTTTATAAAAAGGGTTTTACTTTTGAAAATGTTCATTCCAGGTCCTTAGTTTAAGTTCAAACACACCTGAGAGTGTGCCCGAATCCCTCAAACCAAGGATCTTATACCAACTTGTAACATCACAAAAATACAGGCCAAAAATTTCGTTTTAATTAAGTTATTACATAAAACTATCAGTATAAAATCATTCATAATAATACATAATGTCAAAATCAAAGTGTCAATAATCAAAACATGGTATCATAAAACCATATCAGAGTGTAATCCCAAAGATCTCGTCTACGGAAAACACGGGGTGATGCGTTGTGATCAAGCCGACTCCTTTCCTTTTAAAATGAAGTACCTGAAGCCAAAATTCAAAACCGTAAGCACAAAGCTTAGTGAGTTCCCCCATCATACCACATACCATACAATACACATACTGCCAAGCATATTTGGGTGTCGGCCTACCCCTTCGGTATCTTTTAACCGGTATCTGGGGATGGTTTCACCCCTATCATTACCACATAATAACATAGCATAACATACATAAATATACTATCAAGCATATCTGGGTACCCGACCTACCCATTTGCTATCTTTCAACCGGTAACCGGGAGCTAACCTCCCCTTCGGTATCTTTCAACCGGTAACCAGGGGACTATTTCACCCCTACCACTACCACATAATAACAAAACATAACGTACTGCTAGGCATGCATGGGTTCTGACGACCCCTTCGGTATCTTTCAACCGGTATCTGGGGGCTATTTCACCCCTAAAAACTACTAACACATATAACAGAGCATCCTAGCACATAGAGCATATCAGATAGTTGCAAACCAGACAATTATGACAAAGACAATCATCTCATACATAGTCACCTATTAATGGGCCGACATTGGTGCCTTAGACCCACCTCTACTGGAAGATAACTCACCTCACATTGCTGAAGTCCCATAGACATAACCCCCAGCTGCTGGATGAAAGATTCCCGAACTGTCAATATCAAAATATCACCCAATTAATAATTGGGCTCCAACACATAAACATAAATACATACTTTGGGGTAAATACTACTTTACCCCTAACTTAGCTTTATCCAAGCCCAAGGCCTAATCTAAAGGCCCAAAAGTCAATTGTGAGTCAAAGCCTAACATATGGCCCAATTTTCCAAATTGGGCCCAAACCTTTACACGGTCTTATTCAAAGGCCCAACCATTTAGTCTAGTCCATACACTTGGCATTTCAATGGCCCAATGTCACATAATCATCTAGGCCCAAACTATGGCTCATCTATGGCCTAATTTTCCAAATTTGCCCCAACCTCATATGGGCCCTACCCTAAAGCCCATCTAATTATTATGGTCTATTGATTATTCTTGGATGGCCCATTATTGGGCCAAACCCCAAAATCCAATAGAAAGGCTCAACACAAAGCCCAAGTGAAACTAGGGTTTCACATAAAATGATAATTAGGGTTAGGTGTTTCTCACTTAATCCATTAACAACTTAATCTATTAATTCCATTACTCTACTAGGTATATCATATGGTGAAGTTGGGCTTATTACATAATTCCATTCAAATGGCCCAAATGTGGGTCCCGATAGGTCCAAGCCCATAAACCAATATTAGGGTTTTCTAAACCCTAATTAGGGTTTCCAACGCCATCTTAGCCCAATTGGCCAAATAGTTAGGTCTTTTGATCAATTAAGGTTTATTAGGCCCATTAGGGTTTCACTAGGCCCATTAGTCACATGTTTAGGCTTTTAGGCCCATTAAGCTTCATTGGGCCCATTAGGGTTTATTAGGCCCATTAGGGTTTTAGTCCCTTATCCAAACTTCCCAAACGACATCCAAACACCAACAAGCACACCGCCACCCAACACGGTGGCTGGTGGCGGCAGGAGGCGACACCCACCACCTCACGGTGGTGGTTAGGGTTTCTTTCTTATTATTCCATTTTTTGTTACAATTTACAATGGAAATACCAAAAGTAACACACACACAACCACCCTAGTGGCAGGTTGGTTGGCGGTGGCAGGTGGTGGTAGCCACCACCTCACGATGGTGGTGGTGGCTTTTCCCGATTTTCCGGCCAAACAACACCATACACACATACACACCAATAATGGAAACACACCTACCCATGCTTCTGTTTACAAGCACCTAGCCACCCTCCCAATGGCGCACAACGACGGCAACAACGGTTGATGGCGGCGTTAACTGCAATAACCACCATGACCGGCTGCCATGGTGGTTCTTCACGACATTACTCGGCAAAAGGCCTGCTTATGCGCACACAACAACCCCTTAGGGTGGTAAACGATAACCGGAGCAACAAGGTGAGTACACCGACAATGGTCTCGGTGGTTTTATGGCTCCAACACGGTAACAGTGGCCTGAGACGCAACAAGAGAAAGACGGAGGAAGGGGCGATGATGAGACCGACGGCGTGGCAACAGGCAAGCAGCAATAATGACGAACACAACACCCTCCGTCAGCTGTGAGACAACAACAACAACCTCGCGATGGTGAATCTCGACCGTAACAATCGAATGTGAGTTGTATTAGCGGGGAGTAGCCGTGACTTGCTGCTGTGGGACGATCTCGGAAGCAAAAGGTGGTCGGAACGGACCAGCAATGGCCGAGTAGGGCTTGAGCGGCAACAGAAGAGTATAAAAAGAAGAAGAACGACGGAAAGGTGGCAGTGGCGCTCACGGCTTCACCAGTGGTCTTCCTTGTCACCGATAGCAGGGGCACAACGATGGTTTAGGGTCTCGACGATGGAGGAAGAAGCGGCTGAAGATGAGGGTGGCGGCCGGCGACTAGAAGTTATAAGGTGGCGGCTGAGTGTTATCATTTAGGGTTAGGTTCTAATACACCTAACCATATATATGGAGGCTGCATGAGAGGGGTAGCGGGTGTAACCGTGTTCATCAAACTTCTGCCCATTTTAACCATATCAGCCCCTCCCCACCAGAATTATTTCCGAACATATCCTAGAATTTACCATTTAAACCCTGACCTCGAAAATCCTTTTCAAATCAAGTCCCATAAATTAACAAACAACCCATATCTTCTAAAATCTTTACAATTCAGCTCCCTATGATACCCCTATAGCCCCCAATATCTTAATTATGACATATTCATCCCTTCCACCTCTTTTCCTTTCAAATTAAATCCAAATAATTACCACGGAGCCCCTGTCTTCATAAATATTTACAACCTAAGTCCGAAACTTACACTTTTAACCCCAAACTTCTAGTATTATGACAATTAGCCTTTCGAGACCAACCTTTGATATATAATTATTTATTTTAGGGCTATTATTCGTTCATTAAGTTTATCTCTTTAATTATTTAATAAATGGGGTGTTACATCATCAAAGACTAATTATTGACTATTGATATTGATTATGTCAGCCTATGAAACTCTTTTTCTTGTAGTGATATGTAGGAATACATAGATGATATAATGTTCTGAAATATGAGGGAATAAGTAGGTTTCATATCAGATTCTACTCATGAGATTATCAGGTGCTTTGCACACATTAACTAATATATATTGTACAACTATACTAAATTTGCTTAATAGGACCAATACTCAATGCCACAATAAGCAATTACACCAATATATCTACGAAAAAACTATAGCATAAACTAGACAGACTTTTAATACAGGATCCACAAATTTTATATGTTAACCAAAGAAACAATATTTATCTGACAACCCCTCCAAAATTGTTCTTGCAATCTCCGATGCAACCGTAGAGCAACAAGCCTCTTGGGTTGGAAACTGGCTATCAAATTTGTAGGATAACAAGACCAACAAATAAGTTGCAACTTATTAGAAAGATAATTAGGCCCTTCAACATGTTGGTGATAGAAGAGGGGCACATAAAGGAACTTTGGCTTCATGTTTTCAACAAGCTTAGGATAACATGATGAAGAACCTTGATGTATTATCTATTTAATCTTGTCATTTGCCTGCAATAAAGAAATAAAATGATGAAAGGGCTGAGCTAGAATATACGTGATATGCATGTCTATGAAAGACCTAAATAGCCTCATTATGTTATAATAAACTGGCACCATACATCATGTCTACCTTGTGATTTATATTGAATATTAATTTCTAGTAGTAATTAATTACTATTACTATTGGCCTGGTGTATTTCAAATAGAGGATCATATATGCATATAGAGGTAAAGTACATTGGTCAATGCTGTTTAGATGTGTTCAAACAAGCTAATGCAAAGGTTAAGTGATTTTAGGTTATTTTACATGTTATTTCAGTTTAGTAGAGTATAAGTACAAGTCTTGTATTTGAGGGTACGTATCTTTGAACAAAACTAGTTGTGTGAGAGATCACTCGGGAGAGACTTGGCCTTTCAAAAGCCAAGAACCTTTGGTATTTCTTTTTTATTTCAGTTTCAATCGAAGGAATAAAAGTTTACAATTTGGCAAATAAACCCTGTCATGGAATAGAAGTAGTGCTTTCCTTTATAAATACAAAGTGTAGTCATATGAATTAGCTAAAGATTATATACAAATCATTCTCTTTCAATACTCAAAATATTTTATGGTATCAAATCAGGAGTTTTTACTGTGATATGCAATCATCTTCAGGACATTTGTTCTCCTCCATTTGCAATTTATTTCTCAATGTATATTGCAGTGTAATCACAATCATAAGTTCAGAGTGCGGACTATACAAACTGGCAAAGAGTCGAGATATCTATTGGTGTACGGGTTTTGTTAGATGTTATATTGCCATATAATATTGATATAAGACTTTGAATCATCTTGGATAATAAATGCCTTATACTCATCATTTTCCTCATCCCAAAATTCTGAGGAATCTGTTGAAACTTTTGTTGTTTGCATGGGATCATCCTTACTTTTTCTAGGAACAAGCTCAGCTGCAAACGAAGACCAACTGCTCTTTATGGAAAATGAAATAATATTGTATGATGGACTCAATGATGTAGTCCGCCTCAAAGAACAAAAGGAAACATATCCCACGTGTGTCCTAACATCTCCACCATATTCAGGCTCTGGTACCTCATTAGACTCCTGCCAAATCTCAAACCCAGAATCTTCTTCATCTGGATAGTGCTTGATGATTACATCTATATCCAGATGTCTGACAATGGTAACAACACGTATTAAAAGCCCACAAAAGTCATTGCACCAATCATCTGGAAGACGCAGTCTAAACGTGTCGTCATCAAATAGGTTCCAAATAGCATGTGGGGGATGCTTTGTAAATGTTTTCCCTCTAAAGAACCTGCCTGCAAACCCCTTTGGAATCTGATGCAGAATACTAAAACTGATAAAATGATTGTCAATAGCATTCCCCTGCCATGGAAAACACATATTCATTTATTTGTATGTTTGGATTAATTATTATGATAAAGATTGAAATTCAAAAGGTACCTGGAGCATGGAGTCTAGTAATATCTCACCAACAAGTGGACCTACTTTGTTGTCCCCTCGAAGTGAGACTTTCCACAACCATTTACAGTTTGAGATATCTCGAAAGCTTTCAAGCGAGTCACAATAATCCGCTATAACAATAGCTATACTTTGTGGCAGCTCTGATAATTCTACAAGTTCTTTGCAGAATGACACGTCGAGCCATTTGAGCCGAGGAAATCGCAAGCAACTAAAACTTAACTGTGAAAACTTATTTCCATATAGATTGAGTTCTTGTAAGTTGGGAAACTCTAAAACATCAGAGCCTATGTCTTCATCTCCCAAATTGCTCCAGCAGAGATCCAACTTCCTTAAGAAACGAAGTTCTTGCAAGTTGTGAAAAAACCCTAACCGACATAAACAAGGCTCCTCAACACAACATTCTACACCAGGAAGATTGCTGCAACCACACCTCCAACAATTAACAAAAATTTTTGAACACGATTCTATGTAGGATGCAACCTCATGATCACCACTATTATCCAAATTAAGATGTGGTAAATTCTCCATCTTCTTTTGTTGGATCTTTGGAAACTGAACAAATTTGAGGTGCCCTTTGAATGAAAGGGTCTTGAGTTTCTTTAATCCCATAATGGGTGGAAACATATCAAGACCCCCACATTGTTCTATAGATAAGAAAACAAGCTTTTCCAAGTAGCCAATTGAAGGATGAATTTCTTCTACACACGGAATCTTTCAAGATTTGGAAGGCCATTAAAATCTGGTGTCATGATTAGGTTATACATATCACAAATTCTCAATAACTTCAAACTTGGCAGCAACTGTTGAATACAAGTGCAAACAAGTCAAAAATGTATCAAGGTGATAAGATTCTGAGGAAAATGGCACGCACAGAGACAGACAAACACAGCTATAGACTTTTTATATGTGATATAATAATTAGACAGAAATACTAGTTCCTTCCATCCGCAAATGGAAATCATCTGAAGTGTTCAACTGGTTAATAAGATATCTATAATATAATCAACAAAAAATAGATTAAAATTTTACCTAAATAGTAACATAGAATTTATTTTTGAAAAACAAAAGGAAATTTGTATCTATGTTAAGACAAAAGGATATTTAGACGGAGGATGGGTATTTACATAAATACCATGGATTACAATGAATAATATATCAATAAACAAGTTATATTTTGAATATTTTATAATTATTAAGACCAAGGACAGTCACAGAAGTGATACACATCAACATCAGATTATTCATCATCAACTTTGTTATCATCTGTTAATTAGATAAAGTGACAAACAATAAGAATTACCTTACAACCCTCCCAAAGTTGGTTTTGCGAACCCGAGAACAATATAAGACAACAAAGCTCCCTTAGTGGAATGTCATTAAACAATGATTTTGCAGGATCACCAAACGATTCTATATACCGAAGGTTCTTCATGTATGCAACAACCGAATGAAGATCTTGTTCTTGATTTTTTGCTGGCTGAAACCGGAAAACCATTATAATTGCTTCAATATTGTCAAGTTCCTGTGATAGAGGAACAAAATAGTGTCAGGATTAATTCAAAAATGTTTGTTTATACATACATAATATATCATGCAAAGCTTAGCTTAAACATTACCTTGGTTGCATCTATATCACATATTTTTGCAACATCTTCCTCCTTCCAAACTCTGCTATGTTTTTCAGGATTGTTAGGACGTTCCCCTCTAACAATGTGGTGTCCCATTTCTTGCACCAGATCATGCATCTCAAAATGTCCATCTTTTGAAATAGTTATGAGAGCCTTTTGTATTAACACCTTCACTCCTATAACTGGATGAAAACCACAAGCCTCAAGTATCTCCATTGCCTCGTCTTTCTCCCTCCCCCTAAAGAAACATGCAATATCAAGGAACAACTCTCTTTCAACCTTTGTAAGTCCATCAAAGCTGATTTTTAGTGTTTCCACAATGTTATCATTTGGAATCTCTTTCAGCCTGGCTAACGCACTCCTCCACTCATTAATGTTTTTGTCACATAGAAAGGAACCAAGAACTGCAAGTGCTAATGGAAGCCCACCAGCATAAGAGACCACCTCTTTTATAAGCTGCTCATATTCTTCCATGGATGTGTAATCCCGGCGTGCATGCTTGCGAAAGAGCTTAATAGCTTCATCATTGTTTAACAAGCTAATATTGTGCTTAACATCGACTCTGTTTGCATTTAATACATGCTCATCTCTAGTTGTGATTATTATTCGGCTTCCTTCACCAAACCATTCATGTGATCCAGCTAACGCTTCTAGTTGGTCAAGCTTATCGACATCATCAAGAACAATAAAGACCTTTCTATGGCATAATCTATCAATTATCATGCGTCTTCCTTCCTCAACTCTCTCTAATTCCTGTACTTCCTTTTGTTTCAAAACGCCAGAAATAAGTTTTTTTTGCAAGCTTACCAAACCATTCTTGCTTGATTTCTCCCGGATATTTTTCACAAAGCAACACCCATCGAAATTGCTAGAGATCTCATCATAAATGGAAGATGCAAGAGTAGTCTTACCACCACCCCCAACCCCCCATATTCCGATCATGCGCACACCTCCCGACCCAATTTGTAACTCTAATTTCAAACGTTGCATCCGAGCCGCCATTCCGACCAAATTCTTATTGGCACTTAAGGGTACTAATTGCAACCTATGTGAAATCGTGTCAACAATTTCTTTGATAACCCTTGATTCATGCCTATACATTGGATATACAAGGATTATTAACACATACTCGAATTGACAAAAGACTACTGTGTTTAATGCTCCATAAAATTTCAGTCTCAAAATAGGACCTTTAAAGTTAATATCACAACTATATGTAGCATTTTTCTTGGGACACATTGAATACTTTCAAATAGCAAAAAACAAAGCAAGATGGATTTTTTGTTGTAGCTTGAAGCGATGCGTTAAGTAAGTAATTAGATTTAGAAGTCAATGAAGTCCATCATAACTTTAATTAGGCTTACAAGGTACAAGTGTCGGTGAGTTGTAGAGCATGCATATTCTAGGCATAAAAAGTACAAAAACAAAAAAGAACATTACCCGTTGGCAACATGCTTGGGTTCCCATCCAGAAAGGTTACTTGCATCCACAAGTGCTTTTCTCCAAGACTCAACCTTGGTTTTGTTCTCCAACTCATGTTTAGCAAATGCTTCTCTGTATTTTCGGTTTTGTTCTCGGGGGTTAAAGAGCCATCCCCAAAGGTCCTCCGTAACTGCTTGTCCCCAAGATTTAGCTTTCTTCTTGTTCTCTAACTCATGTTTGGCAAATGCTTCTCCGTATTTTCGTTTTTGTTTTCGTACATCAGAGGGATCCACACCATAGAATATGGGGATAATGATTTGGCTTTTTGTATCCTTGCATTTCATAATATATGCAAGTTCATCTAAGCACCATGAAGAGTCTGCATAGTTCTCTGAGAATATGATGACAGCAATCTGAGATTCTTCTATAGCTTTCATAAGAGATGGACCGATCGATTTGCCTCGAGGAAGTGTTTCTTCGTCCTTGTAGGTGTAGATCCCTTGCTGTTCAAGAGCTGAGTAGAGATGATCTACAAAATTCCTGCGAGTATCTTCTCCTCTAAAGCTAAGAAAAACATGGTACTTCCATGATTGAGAAGAAAATGCCGGAGCAGAAGGAGAAGATGATGAAGATGCCATGGATTTGTTGAGATAGAATGTATGTGGTTTGCGCACCTCAATGAAATGAACTTTATACCGAGAGATGTGACTAATTTTCAGTAAAACCTGTTATATCATGTAGAAAAATCTTTTCAGAACTCATAACTGCTCACAGTTGAAGTAACAGGTTACCATGTAGAAAATCTCATAACCAGTCCTTACATTTACTTTTTCATTTTTCGGTCGTAAAAACTCCTTTGAAGTCTAATACAAGTGAGAATTCTAAAGATAGGCATGAACTGATATAGGTAAAGTGAGTTACACAAACTAATGTTTTACTTTTAATTCTACATATTATTTTTCTTATACGACAAGAAGCAAGTTTCCCAGAAAAAAGAAAAAAAATTTAGCAGACTCCCTTTCTAAACTCAATAATTTAATTTTGTTTCTTTCAAAGTTCAGATCCCAATGATTCCCTTCTATTGTGTGAATAAAGTTGGTCACTTTGTTTACAAATAGCCTCTCCTCTTCAGTTCATGCTAAGAGTACACCCCATGAGTCAATTGAATAGATCCTACTACATAATTTCTTGTTTAGCGGAGTATCAATAAACAACAAAGTTACTTCAATCTTGATTTCCTAAACAGTCCCATTTTCATCTTCACCATTCTGATCCTCTAGGAAACTTCACACTCATATCATGGGTGCCTAGATTCAATTCTCTTTGGAGAGCAAGATATATGTTCACATTTATAATTTGATGTCAACATTTGTCTCTCGTAAGACAAGAGGACATATATTACAATTTTAAAGAGAAAATCACTAAGTCACTGTATTACAACTTTTACAATCATACAATCTACTAAAATTCACATTCGTAATCATCATTAAGTATAAGTCTATTGATTTACTCCCATTGTGTAAACATCCAACTGGGACATTATAGGTTTCAGAAGGCTTATTTTATGAAGTTATGCTTTTCCAATATCCACCAACACCTATAACTTGTATCCGTTTTAAAAAGGTTACCTTGAACTCACCAAAACCTATGTTTACACCAAAAGGAGTATTTGCATCACTAACCAGACTCGATTTGAAACACCACGATTGGTAATCAGTAAATGACTAGTACCTTTGATCAAATTATGATGTTATGTACTAATAATGAGTTTCATAAGTATTTGGTGCTTAAGTGTAGCAATATACAAATTCAAGTTGGGGCAAGCATACTTGGATTTGCTCAGCAAACACACAGGAGCGCGACAAAGGACCAACTCCCTGTTTCACTTTCTTTTTGTATCCACAACCCATACACACGTCATTAGTCATTTTCCTCCAAATTCCATTCATTTATAACATACACAACAGTATATTAACTTCACAGATTGTTTAATTTGATCATCTACTACACTAATTCAAAAACTTCACAACTTTGACTAAATTAGGTCAAAATACGTTTCTCACATTCCTGGCCGACATTTTTTTTAACTATTTGATAAAATTTACTCAATAAATTTATTAAAAAAAAAAAAAAAAAAAAAAAAAAAAAAAAAAAAAAAAAAAAAAAAAAAAACTTCATTAACACTTCCGTTTCTTTCTTGGTAACTTATAATTCATCAATTTATCAATTTGAGGAACGTACCTCAGATCCCCAGAAACATCACACTTTAGCAGAAACCCTTTTTAGCTCTTTACATTGCAAGCTTATACTTCATCTCCATAGGATTCCTTAATATGTTCTTTTACATTGGATCAATTTGAGTAGGTAAGTACCGTTGACTCTTTCGGATCGATTAACGAGAGAATGAAAACAATAAGGAAGTAATTATAATCCTTTATATATTTACTCAAGTTTCAGAGTTTCATTATTAACCATCATACTTCTTCACGCTATCACCCCGTAACCCTTAAGATTGGGATATTTACAAAAATGGTCGCCTGATTTTGAAAGATATACAGAAATAATCTAGTTTTTTGGCTATTTGCAAAAACACATAAATACGACGATTGTGATTTTAAATATATAATAGTAAATATGTTGTACCAATTTTCTACCAATTATCTCATTGATGAGTCATTTCTCAAAAAAAATTATCTACCAATTTTCGACAATTATAAAATTCCTAATGTCATCAATGTTATATTTTGATGCGATTGTATCACGAGGTGTTTGTTTTTCCTTTTAAAATGGTTTTTTGACTTTTAACTTTTTCAAAAAGTTATAAAATTCCAAAAGTTGTTTGGTAAGCGATAAAGTATTTTTAAAAACAACTTTTATCAAAGCATAAAAACTGACATTTGCAAAAGTCATACATCTGTGATTTTTTGTGTCTTTTTGAACTTTTGAGGCTGGAAAAGCAAAAAGAATCTCAAACATTTTTTAAAAAACATCTTTTGAAAACATCTTGCGTCGGGTACTACACCGAGTACTGGATTCTGCCTCATGGTGTTCCTTTCCTTTCAAATGCTCTTCAGTGTAGTCTGATGTTCTTTAAGTGCTCTTATCTTAGCTTGGGCAGCCATCATCTCTCTTTGAAGTGATACTACAAGGTTCCTAGTTTGACCATGTTCTTCGTCTAGATGACGAAGATTTGCAGTGTTAACTTGTGGAGAGGTGTTGGCTTCCAGTGTCCGGTTAATTGATATCCTCGCTTGGTCAGTCTGGCGAGTGATGTGTTGTACTATTACAAGGAGGGCCCTGTCAGATGATCCTCCATTACTTATGTTATAGAAATCTCTGTTCATACAAATGGAGGGCGTTGTCCTTGTTGGTGACTCCACCTTTATAGTTCCTTACCCCATGCTGGTGTCGAACCTTCAACATGTGGTCTGGTTGCTGGGTGTTGTACTCCTTGTGGTGGATTATATAGTTATGGTTCCGAGTCTATGCCACTTGAATCTTTTTCTTCACTATCCTCCATTGGTTCTTCATCTGAATCTTCCTCAACCCAACCTCCATTTCCTTGATTGGGGTAGTAGGGGTCTCCAGGTAAATGAAATCCAACCATGTTGTCGGTACGATAAATAGGGATAAGAAGCATAGAAAGAATTTAAACGCGTGGTTTTATAGTATCCCATAATACTCCTATAGTATTTTATGTTTGGTTTTATAGTTTATAAGTTTGGTAAGTTTTTAGACTTGTTGCAACAGCACAACCATTCCTAGGCATATGCTAATCACTTCTCGGATACATATAGTTGATCAAGCTATATTCATCCCACAGTTGATTATATATCCCAATATCTACTTGTGCTGTTCAACAATCATAATACTTTTATGTAATCTTTACTGTGATACTGTTTCTAGTATGTATGCATGTTCATATACTTTTAATAAAATACTTAGATTTAAAAAATATATATATTTTTAGTCAGAGCGTTACAACACCATTTGTATTTATATTTGTATATCTTTTGTGGTTTGATATACTTAGTTCACTATAAGCAATGCTCTGATACCAATCTGTCACATCCCAAACCAGAATGGCGGAAACATTCGGGGGTGGATGACTTCATGTATAGTATCACAACATTGCATAATAGTAATCAAAGTATAACATCCATTACATTGATATAATATAACTTTACATTTGTGTTCAAATCATCGTATACTTGACACCAAAAAGTATAATTAAAAGACATGATTGTATGAAACTCTGTCTTCCTCAAAACTTATGGGTACCTGTTTATTAATTTTCTGAAAATACAAATAGTTTTGAAAAGAGCGTCAACAATCAATTTGGTGAGTTCATAAGTATTTTTGTAAATAAATCTGTCATTTGTTCCCTGAAAATGTAAGTATGTTTACTCAGAAAATCCTATATTTTCTGTTGTATATATATATATATATATATATATATATATATATATATATATATATATATATATATATATATATATTTGTGTTCTGAAATAGTATGATATAGTTTTAATTCACATAAAACTATGAAATAAATCCTTCACTTGTAATAGAATAATATCTTGTATATTATGCTTGTATGAATTCTCTGAAATTGTAAGTACTTAGCTTTACCAATTGTATTATAAAGTACTGTATAGTAGTTTTATTATTTAATAAAACTATGTAAAGTTATTTACTTATTCATACACTAATAGTATTATTCAATACCAAATTGTGAGTTATTATAACCATGCTTGATGACCTAAGATGGCCTGAACACAACGTTCTTCAGGCGTCGAAATTGGTACGACAATTGTCACCTCAGGCCTGCCGGCCTAACTGTAACGAACAGTTCAGGTGTGGGATTGCCAGTCCCGTATATATCTATACACAAGTGTCACGCTCTCCGTCCAGGACACTCTGGTTATAATTTTAGGACTTGTTTTATACTTAAATAAGTATTTGAAGTATGTCTCACAAAGCTACATCGATTGTTATGTATAGAATGATGAAAAATATCTTTGTAATAGATAAACTGTAAATATTTCTTAAATTATATTTAATACAATTTATATATATTTATTTTCGTAAGTTATTATGAATATATAAGTAATATTTAAATTTCATAAGTTGTAATGATAAGTATACATGACTCATAAACTATATCTATTATAGTTTATATGCCTGTTTTTGTATAAAATCCCGAACTAGTAAAGTAGTATATTTATTTTAGTAAAAATAACAATCGTAAACTATTTGAATAATTTTGTTGCTTATACAAGATTTCCTTGTATTTCCCCCTTAAAATATTATAAAGATGAAAATGTAAGGGTATAAACTCACTTGATAGTAGTGGTGATTTGGACAACACTTTGTTGCTAGAAAAGAGACATTATTGGTGAAAACCGGGCTTTATAAGGGTTGATTTAGAAACCGAAAGACTCTTTTCTTGTGGACTTTTGGTGCCTTGGGATGTTCTTCAAGTGTTAGATATGTTACCGGGACTTCGGGCGGGGGGGGGGGGGGGGTTGTAAGGAAGCTTAAGGGGTGGAATATGTGAAAAATGGTGTGAGAATGGTAAAGGAACCGGGAGATTTCCCAGGTATCTATATCTATATATATATATATATATATATAT